CAAAAATTGTGCTCTGGCTGGTGCTAGAATTCGTCAAATCTGGTGCTAGAATTCGTCAAATCTGGTGCTCGATTTCGCCAAATCTGGTTCTCGAATTCGTCTAATCTGGTGCTCGAATTCGGCAAATCTGGTGCTCGAATTCGTCAAATCTGGTGCTCGGATTCGTCAAATCACCCCACCACGACCTTTGACAGTGGTGGACAAGGAAGGCAAGCATTGACCATCTCATATCGTTTGCAAGGCACACACACACATACACACACCTTACAGAAGGGCACTGGGTATGGTGCAGGGGATGGGTGAAGTGAGGTATGATTCTGATCATGGTGAGATCTAAAACGTTCAATCTGGGTCAAGCCCAGCAATTCATTGACCAAAATGTCCCAAAACCAAGAGCCATTTCCAGCAATTCGCTGGTGCTCGTTTTCATGAACACACTTCATATTTAAAAAAAATGTTGAACTGTTACTGGGGGCGAGCCACATCGAAAGTATCGTTTAAATATCAATTTCAGATAAACTTAGTTGTTCGAGCTTTTGATTTTGGGGGAATCTGGAAGTATCAAAACGACTTAAGACAAACGGTCATGCCCTTTTTGCAGCAACCTGGCCTAAGGTCTTCATGCAGGTGGCCATCATCGAAACTAACTTCTTCAACTCTTTCAGCCAGCGCGTTCTCTGAATCACACGGGCCACACGCATGACCCGGACCATGCGCAGGAGTCGCAAGTCCTTCAGGAACGTCAAGTCGCTGGGCAGTGGCTGACCGAAGGCCTCAAAGGCTCGAATGCTGATCGCAAGATAGCCTCAGCGAATGGCGCGCAGAACCGAACCTTTGAGGTCTCCTCTTGTAAACGTTGGAGGCCTCAGGTTTGAGAAACCTACCGTGGGTGCCAGATGCAACCACACTTGACTCTCTCTCTCTCTCTCTCACATCTCTATGGTCTAATTGCGCGGCAGAGTAGCCACAGGCCAGTGTAAATGCATCGAAAAGGATGGACTTCTTTTTGAGTGCAGAAGCTCCGTTCACCCATAGAAGTGCTGATAGTTCCAGTGTGTAAATACCTAAGCAAGTTATTGATATAACTTCAGAATAGACGGGCACGTCCAATTTCATCGCGCGATAGTCGGTGTCGATGAGCGCACACACCGAGTCCACGAGAATAGTCACTACCATGCAATTCACGAGTGTGTCAGAGTCAAGCACGTAAGCCACCTTAGCGCGCAACCAACCGGATTCTGCTTCGCTCAAGTGTCCCGACTTCGTCTTCTGCTCCACTTTGTGAAACTCTGCATGCAGCTTCCTTCGAGGAGCCTGGCCCCAGGAATTTTCAGAGTCGGAAGGGCAGCCCGAGACCGAAGATAAGACAGAGTGTCGACCCGCCCGAGGACTGGTCTGAGGACTGTGATCAGCCTGGCGGGCCGGGCTGGTGCCACTCTCCTCACTCATCTCGCTGGGCCGACGATCCATCTCGGTGTTGGTCCGAAGCTGGGCCGAGCTCGGTGCCGTTCAATGGCGGCTTCACTTGTTCAAGGAAGTTACACTGGAAGACTCTTTGAGCCGAAAGCCTGCGAAGCTTCAAGCTCGGGGACGTGGAGAACCCAATCCGGAGAACTAGATTTAGATGAGCGGCCTGTAGGATTTCAACATGCCGAGGATATCACGTGGCATGTTGGAGAAATGACGCAAGGAAAACCTCCCTCGCACCATGGCTTTCATGTCCTCCAGTCATACGTTCGTTACCTGCCCCTCATCGGCCCTAGCCTCTGGATAATCCTGCAGCCGTACGCATGAGAGGCCATCTCGGTGGCCTTCTTGGCGACAGCTGAAATCACAAAGCCCAAGTTTTGGGGCTGCAAGTTCTCCTTAGAAACAAAACCAGCGGGTTCAGGACAGTGTGGACTCGAATCTTTGGCGGTGAAGCAATGCGGCCGTGGAGCCACAACCTTTTGGATCACGTGGTTCCCGTTCATGTCATGAATGCAGTCTACAACCTGCAACTTTCGGTCAAACTTCATATTCATTCGGCCTTCACCCTTTCGGTCAACTCTCGGTCTACAACCTGCAACTTCTACAACCTGCAGTCTACAACCTTTCAGTCCTCACCTCACAAAGTGCCTATGCCTTAAACTATCCAGAGACAGATCGATGACATGCAGCTGATCTTTTTCTATCTGTCCAGTCAGCCAGCCTGGTTCTTTGGTCCCAGGGTGAAAGGAGGTGTTCTTTGCTTGCATAAGCAGAGGCAAGCTGGACGCTTTTGAGATCTTCAATCTTCCAACACCATGTTTTTTGCTAGGGTTGACGGGCGCGAGCCGTAATTTGCGTAAGCCCTTTCATTGAGAAGCCGCATCCCGCGAATACACTCTTCATGTTCATTCTTCAAACTCACTTTGTTTGATCTGAAAACCACAAACTAATCCTAGGGATCCCAAGGGCGGGATCCAAGAGCTCTTGAAAGACTTCTCTTGCGCTAAGAACTCACCGAGAACGTTCTCAGAACATGCTACGTACAAGAGTAAAATGCACACACTGCCACTGCCCTCTATATGTCCCTGTTCATTCTCTTTCTCCCCGCGATATTGCAGAGTCCGACGACACTGCTGATCGCCAACAAAAAAGCCCCCTGATTCGCGGACTCCTTGGCTTGCCTTGTCTTGCAGCTCTGCTGTGAGATCTACCTTCATCTCCGAAGGCAAGAACTCCAGCATCTTCTGCATCACCTGAGGCCAGAACATCACACACTCCTGTGTTCCAATTGCAGTTTGCATACGTTACATTGCATGCTGAGGAAGAATGGTCATTTCAATGCCTCCTACGTCACTTGGCCCACTTGAGTCCGTGGAGTGCAATCAATTGGCGGATGGTCGTCAAAGGGTCCTTCAGTATTGGTCTTGATTGCTACAATGTTACAATGCCGGTGCCGCATCAAGCCCCCTATAATCATGGCCCATGGCCCTTGATCCTCAATCTCTGAGTGCATTCAGAGAGACCCGACAGCCAGACTTGTGCTGGGACAACTCCAAGACCTCATCCAAAAACACTGCAAAATCGGACGAGCGGCAAGCTGCCATGTAAGCTTTCAAATCACAAGTTACTCTTGTAAGAGAGATGCTGCTCCCCGCAAAGGATCAAAGGGGTCAGGCAGCTCACGGTATACCAATGCCCAGCCATTCAATACACCCGTTCTTATGCTTAGACTGAACTGCTCAGTCCTCGTCTGCATCTGAGGCACGTGACCCTTGACCTGCTTCAGCATAGCAGCATGTTTCTCGGGGCCTCCATGCTCCAGGAGTTTCTGCACCACGAAGTTCCCACATTGATCGCAGGACAGCTTCACCTGGACAGCGTGAGCGAAAAAGCTCTCCAACGGTTCTTCTTGGCGTTTCAACACGATTCAACTCATTCTTGGCGGTTCTTTGTTTTGTGCCCCGATCTCCTACAAACCCGCCTGTTACACTATAATTTATCTCCGAAATCTGGTGGCTTGCAACATGTCCAACTGCTTCAATGCTGCCCCGTGACGATTGCAGGCAGGGCCAGGTCAAAGATCTTCTGCCCATCCTCTTCGCTGCAGTTGCCACTGAGTTTCCATTGTAGAAACCGACTGCCATCCTGTTCCTGATAGCAGGCATCTGATCAGTTCTTCTCTCCTTGTTTCATGCCTAGAGCATCTCAAACTGTCAGGGTTGCGAAATCACGAACGCCCTTCCTGCGACCCTATGCAGGCTCTTTTGCCGTCCAGGTTGGCTCAAAAGCCCAAGAACCGCCATCAAAATTCACAACGCAAACTCTCTTCTTGGATGATTCAAGTATGTCTCTGGTGGATTTCTGAAGGGGTAAACCCAATGTGGGCTATGCGGAGCGTCTTCGTTTCAGCCATTCTCACTGCAGAGCAGTAAGTCAAGCTCCATACCTGCTTTACCCCTCGCTTGAGACGTCCAGCTGGCCTGTTGTCCAGGACAACACCCCATGACCAAAATCCACCTCATGCTCTCCATGTGAAGCCCCCAGCCTGCGCGGCCTTCACCAATCTGGGAAAAACCTGCAGGAATATGCAGGAATCAGGTCAAGGAAAGGAGTCCTAACTTGCATCAACCGAACCGACGGCTGCAAATGCAGAGTTGGACGCATGACACCCAGGAAATACAGGAAACAGTTTGAACCATAAGTGACATTCATTCCACTTCATGCCTACAGTAATTGAACTCATGAGTGGCCGCACCTCCCCGAGGGTCAGATTGATATCAGCGCCATTCACCTCCTCCTCCACCTTTTCCTTCTTACGCTTCCGTGGGGGCTCCTGGTGTTGAAGTCGAAATTATCGAACCGAAAAGATCTGACAAAGCCCGCGTGCTCAAGAGCCTTCGACTTAGACTGGTATAGACCATCTCAATATGCATGCGGCATGATGTCTGACGCGAGGTTTTTTCCGCACTCCTTCGACTCCTTCGGCTCCTTGGCCCGCTTGCCCCCACCTTTCCCACGCCTCTCGGGCGTCCGACTCCTTGCAACGAATCCGGTCGATTTGGAACCCGACGAAAGGGACAAAGCAACTCTCAGGCGAAGTCAGACGGGTCCTCTGGCGTGCTCGAGATGGCCGCCGAGATGGCTCGGACTCCAAGGGCGGATAGTGGGGTGGTGGATAGTGTCCGTAGTAGTGCGGAGGCGGTGGGTAACCTGGACGCGGCACAGGGCGGCACGGGGTTTTTGCAAAGACCACATATCTGTTGACATCGCATGAAGAATGCCAAATGAAGTCACCTGCCTGGTGGCGGATATCCATGTGGATAATGCGGCGGTGGATGGCCATAGCCATAGTGTGGTGGTGGTGGTGGTGGGTAGTAGCCACCGCCATATGCACCAGGTCCAGGCGGCGGCCCAGGTGGCGGCCCAGAAGGCCCCGGCGGTCCGGGGGGGCCCGGTGGAGGGTAATGCCGCGCATAGGGGTCGTAACGGTCACGCTCGTAGCGGTCACGCTCGTAGCGGTCACGCTCATAACGGTCACGCTCGTAACGGTCACGCTCATACGGATCATAGAGTCCGTAAGGGTCTGCTCGGGGCTCGTACCTCTCGTACCTCTCGTACGGTCGAAGCTCATAGGGGTCATAGCCTGATCTCGAGGTCGGGACGCCCGCATAGGGATCACGATCCGGCCATCGGTCAGACATGGTCTTGAAGCTGTTGGCTTGAATGTGCTGAGAAGCTAGACTCGGCATATCTTTGGACTGGACCTCACGAAAGCTGTTCTGGAGTCTCGTGATAGGCAAAGATCACCAAACACTATTAGGTGCTTTGTTTGGCCCCTATGCTATCTGAGGCTTATGTTTGATTTATATCTACAGCAGAAAAGGCTTCAACAATGTTATAATCAGCAATGATTCTGACGGCTAACGTTCTGCAGCAGCACAAAGATTGCATGTAGGAAGCCCCTGCCGAGTAGACCGAAGCTTTTCGAATTTCTCCAGGCAAGGTGTCCAAAGGGCGATTGGTACCGTGTCTCTCTGTCTACAATTCCGTCCGTTGGCGATTCCTATTCCGTTCGAATTCTCATTTTTTTGCTCCTCGCAGTGATCAGGATGTGCCAGCGACAGGGGAAACCAAGTCACCACTGTTGGAGGAGGTCTGGGATCGAAGGATCGAACAGACCCAGGAAACAACGCTCTAAGCTGCCTCCACGCTTTGGCTGCAGCTTGGTGCCTCCCTGCACTGCGGGAACTCCAGCCCGGAGTTGTATCACTGACCCAGTCGCTTCGTCTGCCCTCCAGGCACAGAGCTAGACCAGTGTCTATGCTGCTTTACTGTGAAAGAATTACAGTAGCTTCATCAGCCCTCAGCCGGCTGTGAAAATGCGAAGAATTCGCGAAGAATTCCAGGCCATGCAGCGGCATGCTCGATCCAACAAATGGGTTCAGCATCGTGGGGGAAGCCCTTGAGAAAACAAAACAAAACTTCCATCATCAAATTAAGTGTATATATAGATATATTCTCGAGCAGCGGACTTTGCCTGCTAAAGCGCTGCTAGGCTCGAAGTAGGTGTGGGGCAGCTGGTGCAGGAGGCCCCTGAATGTTGTTGGCTGTCACATCACTGCCACCACCCTCCCAAGATATTACATACCTACTCAGGGGGGTTCATCGGGCTCAAGCTCGCTGTGGGGATGTTATGTCCTCAGTATAAGTGTTCAAGAAATCCCGGGCCGCACAAACGCAAACTGCCCCTCAGGCAATAAGGGGAAAGGAATGCCGAAATGGCAGCAGCAAGTGAAAGGAATCCCTTTCGTCATCACTGACTTGGGGCAGCAGTATACTTCTTTGGTATGAACCGCGATTCCTGGCCCAGGCAAGGCAAACGCAGGCTGGTCACACACAAGGCGGCCGGTAGCGGCTAGCGGCTAGCTACTCACATGAGGTGAACAGACTCGAGGTGACACCAAGCAAAATGGGTGCATATACAATTTGTCAGGGACACTCACGCACACATGCTCCTGTTTTGAGCTGCATCCAGTGGCAGAACAGGGACAAAGAGAGCGAGCCCGCGAGCAAACGGGCCTCCACGGTGGAGGGACTAATAATAGTCTTCAAATGGGAAACAAACAACCGAGCACATCAAGCCAGCCCCAAACCCCTTCAATGTATGCATACACCTAGAAAGAGCGGACTGTAAAAACACGCACACTCTTGCCCAAAAATCCCTAACATATATGAAGATGGAAATCCTTGAAGGTCGACGGTTCCAGTCTTCATTTCCTGGTGCCACATGCCATTTATTACATGTCAGGAGTCATGAGTCATATGTCAGAACGCTATTGAACAAGGCCTGGCGATAGAGAAAACTATCTTCCAACAATGCTCCTGGAAATGATTTCGCGCGCCTTAGGTCCCTGGCACTCCAGGATACTCATCAAGGGTGCCACATGTACCCGAAATGCTGGCAATCGATGTCCTTGCAATGCGAGGGTGTGCCAAGCATCTGGAAATTGAACCCAAAGCCTAAAGCCGACTGTCAGATGTCTAATGTGGCCCTCAGATTTATAAAGACCCCTAGAATTATGTCTTTTTTTTCCCTGCACTGATTTATAAAGGCCCCTAGAATAATGTCTCTTTTTTGGGAGGGGTAGTTGTAGTGGAATATTTTTTATTGTTATAGTCTACTTTTTCCCTTTTGATTTGCTTTACTCACCCTCTATTCCTTATTAACTTTTCCTAAGCTCTTTAGTGTTGAAGCTTTCCAAAAGTTTCCAAAAGTCAGTGCGCACTTTCTTAATAAAATCCCTTATTCAAAAGTATTGAAAAACAAAAAAATCATTCAAGCAAAGGGGATAGTCCAGCAAGCAGCTTTCTGACATTATTTAGGGGGGGGCCCTAAAAATAATGTCTAGAGATTTGAGGCTTTATTCCTTTTCTTTGCCTTTTGATTTGCTTTACTCACCCTCTATTCCTTA